AAGAAATGTCAGAAATGTTTAATAAAAAGCTATGTTGTCTGTTTCGAAATATTTGCATGTGAATTCAGTGAAAAATATGTTCAAAATATTAAAATTATATTTATCGATTTTATTTTGACGATATAACTATAATTAAAATGTAGTATTAAATAATACTAAAATAAAATAACGATGATAAAAAACCAATGGTATTTGCAATGTACGAGATGTATCTTCGTAATGTTGAATATTGACGAAATGTTCGGATTCTATACGGATTGATTACTGATGGTGCGCGATAAGTTCCGGGATAATATTAAGCGGAAATTCTCATGCCAAGCCGCAAATTAATGTGGCGAGCCGTCGGTATTACGGCCGATACTACGATGTACGAATTATCGAGGTAACAACTCAGTTAGCGTCAGTTAAGAGAGGGAGAAGAGCCCCTCGATAATTGAACGGTACGCACAGGTTGGTCGCGAGCGGCTAACGGATTAATCGTCGGGGTCGGGCGAAATAGGGGATCGTCTCTTTTCCACGGTGGATGATACTCGCCAATTCGGGAGATTGCAAAACTGCCGGGCCGGGACTCGAACTACGTACAGAGAAGGAACTCTCATATCTTTACACGATCTTGAGCAGCAACGAAACTTGCGAGAGCAAAGCGGATTAAATTCCTACCGCAGTATCTTTGCGAAGGAATGCTGTGGATTGTAATTAACCCTGCACGATTATTCCGTGTGTTACAGTACGAGGTGAGCGAGCCTGATTCGCAACCCTCGTCGCACGTCACCGACACTCGAGTATGCAGATTGCCGTGTAACACTGATCCCAAGTAAACAACGACGAAATTTGCATCCTTACCATATTCATGGGCTTTTAATTCGCAAGTCATTGTGAATGTGGCGAGAATCAACGCGAGGCCTGTGCAAAGATTTGCTTCCTTTAGTGGGACAGAGGAAACATCATGTGACTTCCTAAGCCATTTCCCCTACGTGTTTCCCTAACGACATAATAATATTATTAAAACACGTTTTAACACGCTTAACTTTTTTTTCTCATCGATATATCGATATATTTGTTGTATAATGCTTTTTTCGACGTGATTCGTGCCGAAATCTCCGTAGCGAGGCTTTCGACGGGAACATTATCGGATTAAAAGTAAATTGTCGTCCTTGCCATTCCAGGAATGCCGCTCCTTTCGCGAGAATTGAATCAGCAGTCGCGTCGATGGAGGTGAATATAAGAGAAGCGCGCGCGCGCGCGCGAGGGTGGGCCGAATGGAATTTTCAGACTGGCCGCTTTATAAAAGGGTACCGATGATGCTGAAATGTCTGGACGGTTCGCCGCCCTTCGTTAACTTCCGGCGGTAGCGTCCCTGCCGTTGTCCGCTGCTACAAGCTCGGTTCGTTCGTTCATTCGCTCGTTGGCACAAACTTTTCAGTCTCACGGCGTGTCCCCGACATTACTTGCCATCGACACCGCGCGCAATGCCCCGCCTTCCATAATATGTCGTGTGATATTTAATTAAACTTCCCATTCCTGCCACGCCGAACCTCTCGCAGTATCACCCGCCTATTCTCATTCCACATTCATAGTCCGTAAAGTTTCGAGGGGGGTATTCCAGCTTGTGTGCCTGCTCTTACTATCGCATTTTCCAGCGCCATTCTGCTTATTAACCGTGTTTCACAACCAGGCTTTCCGACAAATTTTTTTCTTCTTTAGAACACGCGCTTCGTCGTGCATTAGCTCAAATACAGCACGTTGTATATTCGTTAACGATTTAAAAACAAAAGGTTTTTTTTCAAATATAATGAATTTTTAAATATAACGAAGTTTTCAATTATTACATTTAATCTCGTTATTAAAAAAGCATTGTAGATACGATAAATTATTACATGCTCCATAACCATTCAATCCAGGTAATGATAATGACATTTCTGGAACACTCGTTCATATCCCGCCTTCTTTTAATTGTTTGATCGGAATTAATTAAATTTTTTCGTAAAGAAATTTACCACAATTCTAATTGCGTTCAATATCGCTCATATATATTGTCACTGAAAGAACTTTCGAGTTTCTCGTTTGTTCGTGCGACCCCTCTTCAAAGTTACCCTCATTTCAATTACTGGTACCAGGTGACTTGTAGCTCGTTCCGCGTCCCCGAGCAGTTAACGCCCGTGCGGGTTCATCGTATGCAAATGTCAATCCGTCCGTCGGCTTGTCCTTCGTCCGAGCGGGAGAAGGCAGATCTGGTGTTCATCAAACGCTGTTCAAAAGCTGCCAATGTATATATGTATTTGTTAGTGGAAATTTATACCTACGCGCTGAGTTGGACTCTACGTCTTTCTCTTCCGTGCCGTTTGATTTAATTCTTTTCCTTTTATCTGTTTGCACACTTAATCTTTGATGATATTGATATATATATCTTAATATAATGTTTCACGTTTCTCATAGTTAATAATTTCAAATATTTGATATAAAACGCGTGGTGAGCATTGCCAATCTCCTCTTTCATATTCCCATGGGACCATAATGTCCTGAAACATTGAGTCAAAGTACTAAGGTACCTCGGGATTGGCAGTTTTATATTGACAGTCATCTGACGTCATTGTTCAATTAAATGCAATAAATATATATATATTCATTTATATTTTACATTTGAAAACACGCGAGATTTTCATTCACGTTTAATATAAATGACTCAAAAATTCACTTACTGTAACGATGACTAATTGAAAGGATCCTTTTATTATAGTCTCCGATTTTATCCTCCATTCTTTGTTCTCTCTATCTATCTTTCTTCCTATCTTTCTTCCTATCACCATTTCGCTTTCCGCCTCGCTTTAGGATACCCTGCATCGCATCCCTCACATTCTCGTGTCGTAAACTACATCATTTACAAACTGTCACCAGCATAATTCCGACTCGTCCGACGATAAGTACGTGCTCAGATCTACAGGCAAGATCTTAATCTCCCGCTCAATTTCGCAAGCTAAATTCGCTCATTGCCACGATAGGACGGAAAATTTTTCATATATATAGTGGTATCGAAAGATGCGCCTTGCAATATGGGGATAATTGGATTGATCAAAGATTTTGACTTCATCACGCGGATTTTCAGAGCAGGTTATTTGGAAACTCTGTTAAAAATGTTATTGGATTTTATCCATCAGACGAAACTGTCTGATTCGTTGCATCCTATTCTCGTTAGCAATATGTACCGGGAAACGAATTAATGTTCTAATCGCATTATTTCGTTTCGTTTACCGTAAAACCGAATCCCCTCAGTTGATAACTGTTTTAGCATTCTCTTCCGCAATTGACTCTTTCGAATGTTCCTAAAAGTGCAGGGTGAATAAAAAGTGGTTAACAAGATTCGTACAAGATAGATAATATTTTAAGATAATTTTTCGGCAAAATTATTTCTTTTTATTTAGATTAAAAAAGAATATTATCATTTGTCATTGTTTTCTTTATTCTTTATGAAATAAATAAATGTTGAGCAACTAATTTGATATGAAATTTTTATATAACATGACACACGCAGTTTTGTCGCTTGATACTCGGCAAACTTGGAGGGCAAAGGTCCGCTATTAAGCTACGAAGCGAACCCTTCGCCAGGAGGGAGCCCTTGAATTCATTTCATGGGCAATTACAATTAGCATTTATGCCACGATTTGCATATCGTTGCGAGACAATTTTGCGCGCGCTTGGCCTAATCTCTGTGTCAGATGCTTACGTGTAAGAAATGTTCATAGTTGCTAAAGATCAGTTATCTTCCTGTATAAACTACTGTAATTTTCGGAGACCTGGCTCTGAAGATAATGTTTAACGCAATAATAGAAATATAATAGAGAAAAACTGTTTTATAATATTTGAAACTTACTTTTTAAACAAAATATTATAGATTATTACTTTAACTTTCTAATTTCTTGTTTCAATTTTTGCGGCAAATAAATCTCGAATAATATCAAACGTAAAATCGAGTATTCGCGTATATCAAATGGTACACTAGTTTTGATTGTGATCAAAATTGTATCGTACGTGGAAATGAAAACGGGATTTCTCGTTAACTCGATGAGCCGCCCAGCGAGCAGCGGAACGTAAGATTGAATTTGAAGGCAAAAGTAAACTCGCGACACGATTAATTCGAAGAGTCCATAAAGGGTGGGGTGCGCGTGGTCAGCGGACGTTCGAAATCGGCGGGTAGGTTTCGGGCACGTTCGAAAACCCTCTCGGTTTACCTCCGTTGGATCCGTCCCTTTCCGCCGCAAACGATTGTGCCCGCGTGGAACCACCGACGTAGATTTCGATTGCGCAATGTCTACCGACAGAAAAGCGAATAATCCACGCGTCGCACCGCTCCCGTGAGCGACGGCTTTATGCCGTATCTCGCACCCTCTTTTTTGCTGCCGCAAAACCCTTCCCAGTGAGTACAAACATTGATTTTATTGGCAATAAAATCAATCGAAGCTAACGACACAGAACTGCATTCGCATAGTCGCCCTTAACAGGGAGCGAAATCGCCGTCGAGACTCAACCGAAGCGCGAGGGAGTTTACAACTGCATTTTACAACTTTTTTATTATCCCTATGCGAGCGAAAGGGAAAGGGAGATTCGTGTACAGAGATATTTCAAAATCAAGAAATATTTTAGGAAAAATTTTATGGTTATTTTAAGTTTCAGATAAATAAGATTGTGAAATTATCATTTGGTATTTATACAGAATTATTAAAAAGTAAGTGATAATTCACGAGTAAGAAAACATCTTTATGATTTCGAGATATTAGCTTCACTTTGAACATTGAACGGTTTTATATGACACAAGATCAA